AACAGGTCTGATCTCTCAGCCACAAAAGTCTAGGTTCAAACAATGCAATAAAGTTTTCCTGCTGTATCACTGGGTCGAAGAATATGCTCAGTTTAACAGTTTTTAAAGTGTAATTCCAAATTGTTTCCTCACCAATAAAATGGAGAGAATAATAGTACCTGCCTCTCAGGGTTCTTCAAAAGAGATAATAATTATAAAGTGTTTAGTGTAATGCCTGGCACATAGTAAGTGTCATATAAATGTTAACTATTATTATTATTATTATTATTCCATGATCTCAGGAACCACCCAAACTGGGGATCTTAAAGGGGTGATGATGATGGAGATTAGAAAAACATCATTAGATTTAGCAATTAAGAGATTTTTAAGAAGCCAAGAGGAGACATTTCAGTAGGAGGTTGAAGAATGAGTGGTAAAACTATGCAGACAGTGAAAGCAGATAAATCTAGCTTAGAAGTGAAAGGGGAAAGAAATACAGGACAATGGCTTCAAGGATCCATAGAGTCAAGCGAAGTGACAAAATATGGGCATGATTGCAGGTAGCAGGAAAGGAGAGAGGGAGGGAGGGAGGGAGGGAGAGAGAGAGAGAGAGAGAGAGAGAGAGACAGAGTCAGAGAGACAGAGAGACAGAGAGACAGAGAGAGAGGGAGAGACAGAGAGACAGAGACAGAGACAGAGAGAGAGACACACACAGACACAGACACAGAGACAGAGAGAGAGAAAAAGTTTGAGAGAACTAATGTAATTAGCTTTTAGAAATGTGCATTTATTATAGTAGTAGAGTTGATGCAAAACACTCCTACAAAAAAAGGGGGTAAAGCAGACTCTCACACAAGTACATGGAATCCAGGGAAAAGTGGATTTCAATTGAGCATTTGTGGCAGAGGAATAAGTTATATCTCCTCAAAGATGACGAGATCTTTTTGATTAGATCTTCAATATGATACAGCTTTTCTGCTGGGCTCCTGGTAGGGTCTTGAATCAGCCTTTCTTCATCTTACCTAGTTAATTCTCTGCTCAAGATGCAGATAATGTGCCAGCTGTTCTGGACATGCTCCTAGAACTAAGATGTTAATGAGATTAAATTCAAAATCCTCCAGATCTTTTGAAATTCACAAGGTCCTTCTCTGACCAAAAGTGGGAAAGAAATCTAGGCCAAGACCTCAGGTAAGACCTCTTCTCCTCCCCAACCCTCCAAGGAACTCTTCCTTAATTCCAAACTAGTTTGGTGGCTTTATTATTAACCCACATGGTGTGATGACCATTAGCCAATCCAAACACTACCTGTATGGCATGCTTCATCTCAAGTACGGCTAAATTGACTTTTTCTCCCAGTTTTTTAATATTTTCATTTAAAGTGTTGAGTTCAAAATTCTGTCCTGTCTTCCCTCCCTCCCTGAGATGGTAAGCAATCAGATACAGGCTATACATGCACAAGCATGTAAAACATTTCCATGTTAGTAATTTTGTGCAAGAAAACTCAAATAAAAGAAAAAAAATGAAAGAAAGAGAGTGAAAAATAGTATGCTCCAGTCTGTATTCAATAAATATCAATTCTTTCTCTGGAGGCGGATACTATGCTTCATCATTTCTCCTTTGGGATTGTTTTATTATCATTGTATTGCTGAGAATGGGTAAGTTATTCACAGTTCTTCATCAAATAATACTGCTGATACTGTATACAGTTCTCCTGGTTCTGTTCACTTCACTATGCATCAGTTTACGTAAATCTTCCCAGGTTTTTCTGAAATCATCTTGCTTGTCATTTCACAATAATATTCTATTCTATTATCAATTGTTTATTATAATTATAATCAAATTATATCAATATATTATAATCAAATGATATAATTATAATCAAATATATTATTATATCAATAATATTCTATTATAATCATATGCCATAGCTCATTTAGCCATTCCCCAATTTATGGGCATCCCTTTGATTTCCAATTCTTGGCCACCACAAAAAGAGCTGCTATAAATATTTTTGTACAAATAAATCCTTTTCCCTTTTTTCAGATGTCTTTGGGATATAGACCTAGTAGTGGTATTGCTGGATCAAAGCATATACACGGTTTCATAGCCCTTTGGGCATAGTTCCAAATTGCTCTCCAGAACGGTTGGATCACTTCACAACTCCACCAGCAGTGCATTAGTGTTTCAGTTTTCCCATTTCCAACATTTTCCTTTTTTGTCATATTAGCCAATCTGACAGGTGTGAGGTGGCACCTCTGAGTTGTTTTAATTTTCATTTCTTTGATCAATAGTGATTTAGAGCATTTTTTCATATAACTATAGATAGTTTTGATTACTTTGTCCAAAAACTGCTTATTTATATCCTTTGACCATTTATCAATTGGGGAATGACTTGTATTTTTATAAATTTGACTCAGTTCTCTATATATTTAAGAAATGAAGCCTTTATCAGAGATAGTTGTTGCAAAAGTCCCTCCCCTCAGTTTTCTTCTTTCCTTATAATTTTGGTTGTACTGGTTTTGTTTGTACAAAAACTTTTTAAATTTTATATAATCAAAATCATCTATTTTACATTTTGTAATGTTCTCTATGTCTTCTTTGGTCCTAAATTCTTCCTTCATTCCTAAATCTGAGAGACAAAGTATTCTGTGCTCTCTTAATTTGCTTATAGTATCACCCTTTATGTATAAATCATGTACCCATTTTGACCTTCTCTTGGTATATGGTGTGAGATGTTGGTCTGTACCTAGTTTCTGCCAAACAACTTTCTAGTTTTCCCAGAAATTTTTTGTCAGATCTTGAGTTCTTACCCCAAAAGCTTGGATCTTTGGGTTTATCAAACACTAGATGAGTCTGCTCATAATACTGTGTGTTGTGTACCTAAGCTATTCCACTGATCCAGCACTTTATTTCTTTTCTTTTTTTTTTAATAATTTATTTCTTTTTAGTTTACAACATTAATTTCCAAAAGATTTTGAGTTTTAAATTTTCTCCTCTATCCTCTCCTCCCCCCTCCCCAAGACGGCATGTACTCTGACACAGGCTCTGCTTATAAATTCATGTTAAGCATATTTTCACATTATTCATGATGTATAGAAGAATTAATTAGAACTAATGGGAGGAACTATGAGAAAGAAGAAATAAAACAAAACAACAAAAGAAAAGGATAGCAAATAGTATGCTTCCATCTTCATTCAAACTCCAGAGTTCTTTCTCTGGATGTGGATAGCATTTTCTATTATGAGTCTTTTGGAGTTGTCTTAGATCCTTGCATTGCTGAGAAGAGCTAAGTCTATCAAAGCCAGTCATCTCACAATGTGGCTGTTACGTCACCACTCTATTTCTTAGCCAGTACCAGATTGTTTTGATAATTACTGTTTTGTAATACAGTTTGAGATCTGGAACACCTTCTTTCTCATTTTTTTTCCATTGATTCCCTCAATATTCTTGTACTTTTATTCTTCCAGATGAATTTTGCTATTATGTTTTCTAGCTCTGTAAAATAATTTTTCAATAGTTTGGTACATCACTGAATAAACAGAATAGTTTAGGTAGAATTGTCATTTTTGTTATATTGGCTTAGTCTACCCATGATCGATTAATATTTTTCCCATTGTTTAGATCTGGCTTTATTTGTGTGAAAAGTGTTTTATAGTTGTATTCATATAGTTCCTGGGTTTGTCTTGGCAGGTAGACTCCCAAGTATTTTATACTGTCTACATTTATTTTAAATGGAATTTCTCTATTTCTTGCTGCTGGACTTTGTTGGTAATATACAGAAATGCTGATGATTTATGTGGATTTATTTTGTATGCTGCAACTTGTTAAAGTTGTTAATAATTTCAAGTCATTTTTTTAGCTGATTCTCTAGGATTTTCTAAGTATAACATCATATCATCTGCAAAGAATGATAGTTTTGTTTCCTCATTGCCTATTCTAATTTCTTTTTTTCTTCTCTTATTGCGATAATTAACATGAACTTTTAACACTTAGTTCAACTCTGTGATTGATGCCTAACTTTGCTCACACTTAGTTCACACCTCTAATAGACTATTGTCACCTGACAAAGGCATCAAAGCATAGTATATTGCTACTTGAAGAGGGAGTTGGGTGATTTGATTGATGGACTTAACACCTACCCTTATATATTAAATACCTTATTGGATTTATATGCCTCAAATATATCTAAAAAAACCAAACCAAAACAAAACAAACCATCTTAAACCAGGAAGTAGCTAGTGGTCCCAGAACTGTGAGGGACGCTGACAATAGGTGAGATTTGTCTCCCAGCTTTTTGCCATTCCAAATTAAGCAGCTTTGTACCGTTAACTTTTCCTTAGGGTATTGTTGTAAGAGCATGAGCACTAGGTCAAAGGGTAAGGATAATATCATAGCTTAATTATGTGTTGTTATTCTGTTTCCCAAAATTATTGCCCCATTCACAGCTCCCTTAGCAGTATGATTGGTTTCCTATAATCCCAACAACATTGAATTTTTATCTGTTTTAACCACCTTTGCCATTAAATCTAATTTAAGGTGGCATGCCAGAGTCTTCTGGGGTTTTTTATTTTATTTTGTTTTTGTTTTTGTTTTTGCATTTTTCTCTGATGACCAGAAAGAATGAAATAGTATTTTGGTGGTTGTTGACAATTTGTGTTTCCTTTTTTGATAATTGCCTGTTCTTATTCTTTGGTATCCTTTTCACATCTATTTATCTGTTGGGGAATGAATCTTAGGAAGCAGCAGAAGGCTTGATGAATCTAAGATCATAGCACCTCAGTTAAAATGCTGGTTCTGCTACTTATTACCTTATTACATCTCTAGGTCTCAGTTTCCTCATCTGTACAAGGAAAAAGTCTGGTATTCTCCATGACTTTCGAGTTCTAAACCTGTAATATTACTGTTTACAAATCTGTGTCAGTTTCTCTAAGCTCTTGGCCACATCCTTTCAAAACCCTGCCCAGGTACTGAGAACACTCAGTAAAGGACACCAAGCTGAGAAGTTGAATTCCGGCTCTTACCTCTTACGCTAAGCCAGAGGGGGAGGAGCCCATCTTGTCATTGGTTGTGGCTGTTATTTCTTGGTCCATTGAGCCAATGATTCCAAGGAAACCCGTGGTTCCCATGCCTTTGGAGCAGCTTCGTGATTCTGATTGGTCAATCTCTCGTGAATGACGGCTCGGCCACCCTATAAGAAAATGCCCCCGGACGGCCCCGGAAGCCCGATGTGGAGCTGCCCCAGCCGTTTCGGCCCAGTGGTACCGCTTCGCTCTTTCCGTCTCCGTGTCCCCGCTCCCTTCGGCGGCCATGGGCCTCCCGCCGAAGCTCGAGATGTTGCTCTACACCGTAAATACGCTGCTGCGCAAGCAGCGCTACCACGCCGCGCTGGCCGTGCTCAAGGGCTTCCGCAACGGAGCCGTGTGAGCCGGGGCTCTGGGTCTCTGAGGGTCGGGGGTCGGACCTGGAGCACTGAGGCCCGGAGCAGGGGGAGCGGGGGTCGTGTCACTGAGTGCCGAGAAAGCGGGGTCCTGGAGATCCAGGGCTAGAGCCCTCAGGGTCACGGTCGTGCGCAGGGTCATGGTCATGGTCACGGGTGGAGGGAAGGGAGAGAGCCTTGGGCATTTGTGAAGTGGCCTGTGGTGCCGCTGCTCACATCGCCCCTGCGGTGAGGGACGACTCTGCACAAAATGTCCGAGAGACCTTCTGGTCCAATCCGCACCTGGATGAGAATGGAATCTTCTTTAGGACGTATTCAACAAGTGGTCATCAAGCCTTTTCTTGAAGATTTCTAGTGAAAAGAGAATCCACTACCTCCAGAAGCAGCGCATTTAATTTCTGGATTCCTCTGCTCCTTTAGGAGATCTGCCTCTTTGCAGCTTCTTTCTCCTCAGACCCTCCCACTCCTACCCCCGTTTTAGTCTTTGGAGCCAAAGAGAACAAACCTAAGTCCCCTTCCTCCTGACAGCTTTTCATGGCCCATCTCCCCTCAGAGTCTTCTCTCCACCAAGCTAAATGTCACCAGTTCCTTCAAATGATCATGACGTACTTCACCACATTAGAAGATTATCTTGTTCTTCAGGTTCTTTCTGCCTTGATTCTGGAAAATCTTAGAGATCACACATAGATCACGGATTTAGAGGTGAATGGAATACAGATCATCTGAGGTCATGTGACTTGTCTAAAGTCACACAGTAACTGGTTCAAATGGAATTTAAACCCACGTCTTTTGACTCCATTGTGTTTTTTCTACTTCATCGTACTTTCTGCCTAACTTCCTAACTTCAAAATGCCTCCCTAGCCTGGAATGATCTTTACCTTCTTTTTGTACACAAGTCAGTTTGTTGATGTCCCTCCTAGAACGTGGTGCCCAGACCTGGACGTAAATAGAGTCTAAAAAGTTCAGAGTACAATTAGAGACAAGAGTGGTCACAAATTCTCTCCCAACCATGTTGTGTTCTTAGGTAATATGTATTCATATTGTACAATGCAACATGTTTCTGCCTGTGATTTGGGAAACCACCTCACAGGGCCTCCACAACCTGGAATAAGAGCAGTGAATTAAGATGGGTTGGGTAGAAGTTGGAAAGAAACAGTGAGGGCACTTAACAATACAGTTTGAGTGAGTTTTGTGTTTATTTTTGGAAGTGTGCTAGTTGGAGGCTGTTTGTGTACTGAACTGTGTGCGGGATGTGTTATTTTGTTATACAGGCTTGAAACAGATTGGGAGTTATAGTTGAATGCAGGTTCAGTGTAAATCAGAAGTGTGATTAGCCCAAAAAAACAGTTTATTGTTAGATGACATTAATAATCAGAATCAGAGGAATGGTAGTCCCACTATCATCTGTCCTGACTAGACCTCAGTATGCAACATTTTGTTTAGCTCTCAAGGCTACAGGTTATATGAGAACTGATGGAATGAATTGTATAGTATGATATTTGAATGCATGTCATACTTAATAATGAGGATGTGTCAACAGAATACTTAGTCTGGAAAAGATATGACTTAGGAGCAGCAAGAGTATTGTCTTCAAATATTTGAAAGACTCATGTGGTAGAATGATTCCTCTTGCTGTGCTTAATACCCCAAGACAGGCATGGGAAAGCAATAAAGTTACAGGAAAGCAGATTTCATCCCAGCACAAGACGTTTCTAACAATTAGAGTTGGCTAGAAATAAAATTGAATACCTTGTGGGTAGTGAACTCACAGCCTAATTCAACAAATACTCATTTACCACCCATTATGTACATGTCATTTTGCTAGAGTTAACAAAGATCAAAAAAAAAAAGAGAGAAATAGTGCCTTCCCTTAAGGAGATTACATTCTACTGGAAGGATCCAACATGCACAGATATAAGTAAAAGATAATTTGGAGCATGGGGTTCTTAACTTTTTTTGTGTTATGGACCCAGAGGTATGCTGAAGCTGACTTGTACTAGCCCTGGAGAGCTGGTTGTTAAATTTTCTTTTCAGTGTATTTAGACCTTGGAAATTGGCAAATGCTACAAATCAAAGCTTGATTTATTGTTTTGTTGATTGTTCAGACTTTAAAAAGTGATAGGGAAAATGTTAATGATGCAGTTTAAACTTAAAAGTATATCAATGCATTTTCAGAGAGTTAGTTGTTAAACATTTACCAGCGCATTCCTTTGACAGTTTGAAGCTTGTGGATCCCTTCTCAGAATATTATTTTTAAATCCTGAAGTAAAATATACAAGATTACAATAGAAATCAATTATATTGCAATATAGTTGGCAAATTTTTTTCAAAAACAAGTTCACAGGCCCCAGAGAAAGTACTAACAAATGAAGGGAATTGCGAAAGGCTTTGTTTATTAAGAGGTAGCAGTTATGCTGAGGCTTGAAGGAAGATTGTTTTCCTGGAATATCAACATGCGTTAAGAAAAATAACCTGAAATAAATTGGAAAAGATAGGTGGAAACCATATTATGGAGCCTTCAAATGATAGAATAAGAATTTATTTTATTCTAGAAGCAGTAGGGAGCCACAGAAGATTTTTGGGCAGTGTTGAACAGTCGGATCTGTGTTTTAGGATTGTTAATTTGGTAGCTGTGTGGAAAGATGAATTAGAGAAGGGAGAAACTAGAAGCCAATAAAAAAGCTATGGTACTGTTTTAGGTGGGGAGAGATGAGGATGTGAACTAGGGTAGTAGCCATTTGAAAGGAGAGAAGGGCACAAATGGGAGGCATGCTGTGGAAATAAAATCAAAAAGACTTGTCTGCTGAGTGCATATGGGTGGTGAGAGAGAAGGAAAAGTTGAGGATGACTGAAGTTGGAAATCGTGGTTGCCTGGAAGGATGGTCACCTCAGTAGAAGTAGCAAAGTTGATTTCATTGCTAGAGATTTTCCCCTAGAGGCTGGATGGCTCCTTGTTGGAGAATGTTGTAGAAGGGATTCATGTTTCAAGTAGAGGTTAAGTTAGGTGACTTTCAAAGCTCCCTCTAACTTCAAGATTCTGTGATTTTATGAAATGTTTGTTTTGGAAGTTGGTGGAAATTAACACAGGCCTAGTGCCAACTGGACACCTCTGAATAGTGTATGACTGGCTTAACTAATCAACCAGTGACGTGGTGTGATTGACTCACTGACCATAGGAGAGCATGCATAATACATGTGGAAGAACCTTCTTTGCTGATTTGCATGAGATTGTTTGTTTTTTAATTCCTCAAAAGTAGGGGCCTGACATTGTTTCTAAACCTGTTTGAAAGAACTATGGGGCCTTTGAAGAGCAATAATTATAATGATAATGATACCATAAGTGTAATACACAACTTTGCCATTAAACAAATTTGAGGACAACTTTGTAGATGGTAAGCAATTATAACATTGTTGAAATTCAATTCAGTTCCATTCTACAAGTGTTTATTTACTGCTTACTAGGGACAGACAAAAATGAAATAGTCCTTGCCTTCAGGGGACTTGTATTCTCAAACACCTCTGATGTAGGCACTTAGAACACTAAGTTCCCGCACTGAGTGTGCGGGAATCAGATTAAAATGTAATTGGGAAATATTTAACAAAATACATTAAAATACAATAAAACATGGATAGTATTCCATTTTAAAACTAAGTCAGTATGCCACCCACAGGGATCCATACGTATGGTTTAGTGTTTGAAATTGATACCAAATCTCTTTTCTACGTGCATGTATTCCAGTGTCATATAAGTCTGAGTATTCAGATTAACAGGGATACAAAAGATATTTTCTCAAATCGTGAAGAGGATGTAAAGAGTGAAGAAGACTTTCACCAAATCCCAGGTTACCAGAAGCATTGTCTTAAAGGATAATATAGATAAAACAACAACAACAACAACAATATATTTCAAAAGACTCTAGCTGAATTCCTAGATGGCAGATCTATGGTGAGTTGTTAATGAAAGCCTGGCTATTTAGGGGAACATCCCTACCCGCTGAGATTGGAAAGGGTAGGGTTCTCCTCCCAGACACTAGATAATGGCGTGGATGGTGGTAATGTGATCTGCTCCTTGATTGCTGGCTACAGTGTCTGCTTTCCTGTTGTATAGTTGCTCTTCAAGTTCATTCAGATTCCTCTTTGTCATCTTAGTTTTCTCAGCCAGCATTAAAGAGTATCTAATGGTAATTTAAAACAAAATCTACCAAACTCAGCAGACAAAGCAGAAGGAAAAGGACTGAAAGGATGATGGGAAGTTGTCCCATTATTAGGAGTTCTTTGATTTGGATTCTGAGGCAGTGAAAGTGCCCTCATATAGTCCTGTGGAGGATGGAGGTAGAATAGAGAGGGGAAGGAAGTTGGGGAAGAGTCATAGCTAGCTGACCCCTTCAGGTTTATGCCTGAGTATTTCTCTAGACACTGTAGATACTTTTATAGGCAAAAATATCTTCTTTTTGTTGTTGTTTGTCCTTCTTTCTAGAAGAGGATCATGACATCAGGACGGTGATGGCATGACTTGGAAGTGAATTGGATTTAAGTAAGGCAGAGCTGTGCAAATCACCAGCCTCACTTTCTTTTCCAGAACCATATGGGTCCAGTGGTGAGACATAAATTAGGATGACTGGAGATGGTCCAGGATGTAGCGGGAGACCTTGGCCTTTTTAAGCTAACGTCTTGTAATGCCCTCACTTCTTTTCACAGTCAACTAACATATTCATTGTTAATTGATTATGAACAAGTACCTCAACCTCTCTAAGTCTCAATTTCCTTTTTCTTTTTCTTTTTTTAGAGACAATCAGGGTTAAGTGACTTTCCCAGGGCCACACAATAGTATCTGAAGCCAGATTTGAACTCAGGTCTTCCTGACTTCAGGGCAGGTGCTCTATCCACTTTGCCACCTAGCTGCCCCAACTTCCTCTTTTAAAAAAAAAAATTCTTATTTATTTTGTTAAAATTTCCCAATTACATGTAAAATTTTTTAACAAT